TATATATATAATTGAATAAAAGTACTTACCTCTTTGCTCGGCGTCAACACCAGTATGAAAAAGCGCACTTCATGGAGTGTTCTGCCCATGTTAGCTGGATGTTTGAGACGCGCTATTGCTACATGGCGCTTCTGAAGTGAAGCTAAGTTGCACCTAAAGCGTAAATCAAAATATATTTAATTTCTTTGCAATTAACTAACAATGAGCAAGAGGGAAAAAATAATTATAACACAATGTTAAGTTTAATATTAGTTGGCTTATATTGGTAATATTACTTGGTATTATTGAACAATAATATGTTCAGCTTTATCAAAATTTTAAATAGCTTCTTAAATTTTAATTTAACGCATGGAAAATCTGAGCCCTTTTGTAGTATAATTATTGCTAGGTAAAACAATATAAAAAATTAAGAAACAATGCATGCAATTTTACGAAAAAGTTATAACGTTTTCATAATTCCATAATCCGTAGTTTAATAGCTTTTTAAATCCCTTAGAATTTCCATTCTATGTTTTATAGTTATTAAGTTCTAACAGTTTAAATAGTATTTCCTGTACGTTACATCGAAAAGTTAGAGCATTTCTCTTTCTGTTGTCCTTCAATTTTATTGAGCTTTCTTCCTGTTTTACATTATTCTTCGTAAAACACGACTGCTTAAATTTTACCTAAACTATTTGACTAACTATATTGTGTTGATAAGGAGTGAAGCAGATAACGGAAATAACTATGAAATATGTATTATAAAGGAACATATCCAGAAAGAATGATATTTTCTTTTTATTAATTATTCTGTAAATTATTTGGTTTATAAAAACGTCTCGACTCTCTGAAAATCTTTGTTATTGTCTATTGATGATAGTTTAATTTTGACTTAGCAAAAATTTTACTTATCACAATTTATTTCTAACAATTTTATTTTGCGCTATTTTAATTGTGTTACATTTGGTGATTTTTAATATTATTTGAAAGACAAAAATTCTAAATTATTTTTTGAACTTTAAATTGCATTTATTATTCATGATTATTACGATGATGATCTGCAACATTTCTTAAAATCGCTTATAAATATAATCTTACTCATCTCTTAAATCAGTGACAATTCATCAATTTAACTTCTCTAGGCCATCAATAGTCGTAAAAAACTTTTGATGAATTGCATGTAAATGATGCTAATTTAATATCGTTGTGAAGAGCGCAGACAACCATATATTTTTGTCTGCATTCATATATATTGTTTAAACAATATATGTATTAAATTTCAATAGTTCAGAATATCTATTAACAAAAAGTAAAGTAATATTTTTATTTTACATGATTAAAAAATTAATAGAATAGTATTTGAAATATATTATGTTGTGCTAAAACTACAAATATTAAATAATACTTTTGTAAACAAAATTAGAGTAATACTAACACCACGAGGGCATTATTATTTAATGAAATCTCATACATGTAAAACAATATTTGTTTTTTATTTCATAATTTATTTTGATTTCATCGCTTAATTAAAAGATATCATGCTTAATGCAGACATAATTTTAAATTTTCATAGAGAGTATTTTACTTTGGATAGTTACAAAACTCTTGAAACTATGGTAAAATTTTGCGAAACAAGAAATTTGATATACCATAATTTCGCTGAATCACTGTAATAAAATAAATATTACTGTGAAAATGACGGTATAAAGTGCTACGGTAAAAATGGATTTTACGGTAAAATGAACATTATAAATATGAATAGGGTTCAAACAAATATTAAAAATGCGCTACGCATTGCAAGAAATTTTATTTTTGAAATCCATAAATAGCTGGATATAAATGTTTAAAATTGCTTTCAATATTCAAAATTATTGGATCCACTGGTTTCATTGGAAAAAAAATATTATAGAATCTTCTTTTGATAAAATTATATTGTTTAAGTAAACAAAGAGAAAATGAGAGTATACATTTATGTAAATAATAATTTTTCATTAAACTCTTATGATATTGAAAATTTAAAAAAATAAATAAATTCTGAAGCATGCATTGGAGGTCACAAATAAACCTTCATAACTAATATTGTCTCATCGGATTTTTTGTTTGAGAATTTTCATAAGTTGCACAGTATCGAGCATATTAGTTGAATTATACTGATCTTTTTAAAAACAGCAGTTTAATCGAAATATTGATACATTTCGAACTTTTAACAATTGATATGCACTCAAATGGATTTTAAAGCAAGAATTGCTCGTTTCGGTATAGTATCTAGCAGGATTTTACTGTTTTTCAAAATTTTTTCATCTCACCTTACTTCACCACGAATCAATGAGAGAATGAAGTTATTCTTTGTTTCGTTTTGGCGAGTTTTTCTTGCAAACACCCATTGATTCACTATGGGATTAAGATCTGGAGAGTTTCTCAGTTACTCTCAAATGACCACTTATTTTATTTTTTGAAAAAGTATTCCTTCTTCTCTTAATTTATTTTATATACTAGTTACATTGAAAAAAAATTGTTGTTATTGACACATTGAAAAAAAGGAGTGATCCTGCTCTGTTATATGAAAAACATCTCAAAACATTTTTTTAAAATTTAGACAAGACAATTAAAATTATGTGTAAGAAAATTTTAATAAAAGTCACTCAGATATTTCAAATATTACGGTTATATACTATGTGTTATTGAAATATCCTCTAAAAAAAGAATATTATATGTTAGAGGCACTTTCTTACTAAAAGAGAAGAAAAAAAGAAAATTTAATGTCGAATATTTTATTCATTTCTGAAATATATTAAAGTGACATAAATTACAATGCCATCAAACAATCTTACTAACTAGAAATACTTATTTACAGGCAGTTTGAAATCTAGGAATTATCCTAGCAAGAACATCCAACTACTAACAAAATAAGATTCCCTCATGTAGAACAAAAGAAAATCTTAGTAGGGAAAAATATTTCAGCTGAAAATCTACCGAGAAAGAGAGAGAGAGTATGCATTGGGAAATCTTTTATCATCATCTGTATTCACCAGATGTTACCCTTTCGGAAAATCTTATTTTTGGATCATTCATATGTTTCCGAGATGGAAAGGATTATCATTGTTTCTAGTACCCCTATATTAATTAGAGGATTCATTATTTGTTTTTAATCAACAAAAGTTACATGATAATTTTGTTTTTTAAATATTACATTTATTTTTGTGATTTGTTGATCATTTTTTTAACAAAACTGTGTAATTAAGTAATTTAATCATAATTACTTTAAATCAATGTTAATTATGGGAAAATATTTACTAGTTGATTCCGTTGAAACATTGAAATTCTAAATATTCAGAACAATTTCCTTTGGGGCGTCTCCATAATTAATGAATGGGGATCAATCTCAGATATGAATGAAATATCTGTTTACTTATGAAATCCTAGGATGTATATTATGGCTAAATCATTGCTTAGACTGACATATACTTTCATAAATAGTAATATTGGAGAAGTCAAACTTAATGTATCAGATAATTGCATCATTTTGGGGACTAAGAATTATTTTAGCTTATTACATCTTGTGATTAAGTTATAGAAAATTTAGTCTTCTTACATGATATCATTTTCTTTTAATCTTATTTCAAACTTAATGCGTCTGTCTAATTTAATATATCAGATAATTGTATTATTTTGGTGACTAAGAATCATACTATTTTATTACATTTTGTGAACAATTTATGGAAAAGTGTGCCTTTTTATATGAAATTATCTTCATTTAATCTAAATTATTTTATTAAAGGAATTTATAAGAATAAGATTCTGTTTCAAATTCAAGAGATATTTGGATGGTTCGTATACTGTATCTAGTTCATACCAATCACAGTAATGATTGGTTGTGTTATATATGTTAGATATGCTAGAAAAAATTATCCAGGGTTATCCGTCGTGATAACCGTGGATAATTTTCCTTACGTAACACAAAAACAGATTATTTTTCTCTCGTAATTGCCTGATATTCACCTTCTGAATCATGTTCAAAATTACAAGACTGTGTAGTTGAGAACTAAAATCTCCCATTAGGTCGATAATTACTAGATAAAAGGCTTAAAGCCAGAAATAAAATAAGATTATATATTTTGGAATCAATAGCTGTATTCTAACAAAAGTCAGCGCATTAATAAGACTGTTATTTTCAAGCCTTTTTAAAGGAAGACTTTTTGATGGGTGAAAGAAAATCAGTATCAGATTTAACTTTCAAACCTTATCTAGATTAGTTAATCTTAAACTTCAGTGAGCATCAGAAGTCATAACTGCGAATATTTAAAAGTATTTAAATTTATATTGAACAGATTTACTTTTTAAAAAAACACAGAATTATTTTTTAATTTTAACAATAAATATTGCAGAGAGTTTAAAAATGTCAAAAATGTAGCTAAAATAAATTTTAAGCGAGAATAAAAATTTTTATTTCCATGTTGTTGTTGACGTATGCCTGTTTTCCAGTGGCGCCATCTATGGTCAAGAATTCGACTTCTGCCACACCATACGTCACACTCGTTTATAGGGCGGACCCATTCGTACATCCATTCATTCATCCACAGATCGTAATTTTGACCTGAATCTGAGAACGATCGATCTCCAATCCAGTACCCCCAGAGGTTTTGATTTGCTGTAGGAACATGGTGGACTTTTGCGACTCGACAGATTTAACGTGCATCAGTCACTTTTCAACACGGGGAGTCTTCGCCCTGCGGGGTTCGAACCCACGAACTCTTGGTCATGAGCCCAGCGCCCTACCGACCAGGCTATCCCGGACAATTTTATTTCCATATTAACAGTGAGTTTATGCAAATGATATTATATATTAATGTAATAAAAAGCCGTTTCGCTTAATATGTTTTTTTCTACCATAATTATAAATGGCAAGTCTTTAAAATGTGTTTTGAAAAACTATTTACTCAGAATATATTTTGTTTCATTGATAAAGACAATGAAGTGCTATGCTTAATTTTATTTTCAATTCATATTTCTATTGGTTTAAAGGTTGTCAGATTTCCTGTAAGAAATAGTCGACTGTGAAATAGTTTTTAAAAATATTCTCTCAAAAACTCATCTTCAAATTTTCAGAATTTATTTCTTTTATTTCTTTCTTCTTGTTATGGTGCTCCTTTTAATAAGCTTTTGGAATATTAAGTCCCTGATGTTTTAATAAATTTGGAGTTGACCATAAAAATTTATTTCAATAATGCTTTTAAAAAAACGTTTTTCTTTTTGCTTTTTTTCTGTCTTCCTATGATGCAAATTTTAATTTAGAGGTCATCTAAAATAATCAGTCTCTGAATTTTTTTTTGTTGCGTTTTAATTGTTATAAAATTACTTATGCATATTTCATACTCCAACTTTCACCAAAAAAGAAAGTTTCCAAATTTTTAAGAAAAATATCCTTCACTTTCCCTTTTTCCCTCTTTTTTCAAAGAGCTGAGGATTCCAACAAAAAAGATTTTTGAAAATCGATTCGATAGCTCTGTAAAAAGGAGATTTAAAATTTGAATTTCCTCAGCATTGGCTAGGTTTGAACCCCTTTCAAAAGTCTTATGAAAAAGGTTTGAAAATCCCACTATCTTTTGATAACAAAATAGAACCATGCTCATTATGATCTAAAAAAAATTCGCAAAATTTTAAGTTTACAGTAAATTAAATAGCAGAATCTAATACTATGTTGTTAATATGTCAAAAATTTCTCTTAGCATTGAAACCCTGAAGGTTACATTAAGCTAACAATGCAAGTTACCGAAGTAAGCAAAAATTCAATCAATAAAAAAGAAATGATATTTTCTAAAGAAAGTTCAATTCTTGAGAGAGGATAAATAACGTTTCATGCAATTTTTTCATATTTTTTGCTTTAGGATGCGAGTAAATTGTTTCTGCTTACCCTTGGGTGCAATTTCAAATTTATAATCAATATGTGCTTTGTTTTTCAAAAAGTAAGATATTCTATGTTAGATATTAAGATAGTTTTTGAGTTCATTCTCATAAATACGAATGATTTATAAGCCTGAACATAGAATAGAGAATTTTTTGATGATAGAAAACAGGATTTATAAAAAATGTATAATCCGACAATAAATATCTGTTAACATTACCGTATAATGTAGTAATGATATTTCTGGTAAAAAGAAAAAATAATCATACTTCTGGCTATTGATATCAGTATATACGTTATTTAAACTGTTGAAAGTAGTTTTTCTGGTCATATGATAACTGTTTTCAGGAAATTTTGTTTTCAAAATTATAGCTCTTATTATCACACACATAGTAAAAAATACAAAACTTAAAATTAAATTAACTTAATAAATGATTTTTCTGCAATAGTTTAAAGTATCACGATGAAATTAATCACATTCACCAAATTATATCACATATTATAAAACCATATTTTATTGTTAACTTTATCGAAATCATTACAAAAGCGCTTTGGTAAAAATTACCGAGCTTTTTTGGTGTTCCCATAGAGCCAGAAACACTATACATTTTACTTTATTTTAGTAGGTTGTTTTGATTTTTTTTTCAACGCGCAGAGAAAATCTTTATTTTAGAGTTTTTTTTAATGAAACACACAATTTCCTTTTCATTTAAAGATTTTCAAATTGTAGTTATATAGAGTTAAAAAATTTTGCCGAGTCTGACTCCTTGTTTAAAATTAAATCTTTTACCCGGCAAAATTATAATTTTTTCCCGGTTGGTTCCGGGTACCCGGAAAATTTGGATTTATTACCCATCCAGTTCCGGGTAAACGGCTGGGTATTACAGCATTTGTACAAAGCAGTATAGAAACCATATAATTTTCCATTGAATAAATATTTTACAAGGAAATTTATCAAATTAAATTACGCTCTAGTATTACGTTCTTAGGGAATTACGTTCTAAGGAAATTTAATGTGCGCCTTTATAAATAAAGATATCTGTTTTTCTTTTAGATTTTGTGAAATTTTTCAAAAAAGTTTATGATAGAAATTCAGGTTGACTGTTAGGTTGTGGAGTAATTAACTCAGAAATTTGCGATGGAAGTAGTGTTATCTGCTGATTGTGGATATTATAATTAATTAAAATTTCAATATCATTTATTATCGTAACTTCTGTTAAATGTAGGATATTTTAAAAATATTTTAAGAAAATGATGTTACATTAAATTAAAAATGCTTTAAGGAACAAAGTTTAAGTTTTGATCTTTTGAATAATGAGATCTAACTAAATACAATCTCTAAAGTATAATGTTTTTGATACTCGGTGAGAAATCTTATTACTAATATTGGACAAAAGATTAATTGTTGTTGTCCTTATTGTTGCGATTCAATCTCGGTTTCCTTGTAAATTGAACTCCCAAAAGTTATAGTAACTCTTAGATCAAGCAACAAACAAAGGGGCAAATTTGCTTTAATGAAAATTTTTACGCGCAATATTTTCTAGCTCAGCTGTCAACCAAAGATTTGTATTTTGTCAATTTAGTATGAACCTAAATTGGGTAACCTCATACCTAACAATATTTCAACTCAAATCCTTTTTTTACCCAATTTAAGTTAAATTTTTTTCCCAAAATGGGTAAACAGCGATATTCAAAATAGGCATGGATCACGACCCAATTTAGTATTAACCCAAATTGGTGACCTAATAATTAATAACCGTTTAACCCAAATCGGGTCTTTTTTTTTAAACCTATTTTAAGTTTTTATTTTTTCTGTGTATGTTTGAAACTAACGCGTATTTGCGTTTCACGGAGAAAAAAAAAAAGCTCGAAAACATCCCATAGTTAACCGGACGGTAAAAGAACTTTTACCAGACTGGTTAGAAACTTAATTCATTGAGTTATAAAGAGAAAAAAACATGTTTTTCCGATAGAATTTAGTTTGAAGTTAACGATGTCCAATAATAAAATGTCGCCAAAAGAGTTTCTTGTGGAGTTATATGAAAATATAAATGTTAAATTATATATATATATATATATATTCAGCTGATAAAAATTCCTTTTCACATTGGCAATANATATATATATATATATATATATATATATATATATATTGTTTTGGAACACATAAATAATTGCAACTTAGGCTTTAACCTACGCATTTATTTTCTTGGAAATTAATTTCCAATGGTTTTTAAATTTGTAATAGCATTAAAATAACGTGTTAACTAATGAGTTATTTGTAAGATCTTATCTTTGTTCGCAACTTTTTGTCTATTATACTTCGATAAAATGTGAAGCATATCAATCCACATAATGAACACGTATTATTGCATTTACTCTTTTGCTGAAAGAAAATTTAATATGAGAGTACAACACATTTTGCGAATTTTCCTTAAGTTATCTTTTAATTTTATTCAATATCATTTTATTAACATTATATATATCAATGCAATTCCTTATTTCCAATTTTGTATTTATTAATTATCATATTTTGTTAAAATAATTTTCAGCCAGAGAACTAGGAATTTTCATGTCCTTCTCCTAAGCGGACACCTCTCCAGCAAAAATATTTCTCAATCCCGAAGGCGTCCATTTTACCTAGGTTTCCATGAAATAAAATTCAGTTCAGTAGTAAAATATCTATCTAAACAGTTATCGCGTCTAAACAATATCGTGTCAAAACAGTTACTTTTGCTTGATTGTTAAGAAATTGATATGGAATATATGGATTTTCAAAACTACGTATATGAATAATTTTAAGGATACTATAATTCTGAATTTAGTTGTGTTGGACATAAGTGAGTATTTCTCGGCATTGGTTACCCGGAAAAATTGACCAGATCTTGGTACTCGGTATAGAGGTACACGGTAACGTGGTACTCGGTCTCGGTAGTGAAATTCTTTTGCTGGGTTCCGGTAATCACTGGGCATCTGGTACATCTCTAATTCAAATTATTAAATAATTTTAAAATTTCTCTGAGAGTGCCAAATTTTTCGACAACTATAATAAGAGGAATTTTATGAAACAATTAATATTTTTACTATTATTTTTTTTAAATTATTAAATTATTAAAAATAAAATTTGCATTTGTTGTAATTTGTACTTTTTGATACCTTTCAGAAAATATGTAATACTGCTTTTTTTCTTCTTAAGTTTAATATAAATTTTTTATTGAAAAAAATTGTCAGGAAACTAGATGGTGTTTTAAACTCAGAAGAGTAAAGCCAGGGGCACTTCATTTAATCCCTCTTATCTAGAATAAACTCTATTAAAGTATGCATGGGTTTGCTTAAAACGAAATGAAATTATCAGTTTCAGAATATGTCTCTTAACTTTTAATTAGTAGGTAATGAGAAGTAAGTAGAATGTGTGAGGTACTTACATAGCACATAGCCAGGACTGATCATAGTCGAAGCCTCCTCCTTCGCTTACGTATGTTCCTTGTATGGTACGGGAAAGTAAGTGCACTAGAAAAAAAAGTATTAACATGTAAAACATGCTTTTATTTTAACTCTACAAATATTTGCTTTGCTTAATTAATGAAAAAGAGCTTCATGCATTATGGGTTGTGAGCATGCATTACCTCATGCTTTATGGGTGTGTTCATCATGGGTTGTGTGAAGTGGTGTCGTGTAGTTAAATGACAAGAAACTATCGTATTAGAATAGCAAAAAACGTATCCAAGGATAGCTTAATTTATCTTGGATTGTGAATGAATTGCTAATACCAGAAGCTCATTTGTACATTTTTTTAAAACTAAATTTAATTAAATGGAAATTTTCTGCCATTTTCATTAGGGAATTTTTTTTTAGCATGAATCGTGTGAAAATTAAAATAACAAGGGGTAGGTGTTATAATTTTATCACGGAATTTATGTGTGGAATATCTTCCTTCTTTACTAAATAATTTAATTTCCTCCAATATTTTGAAGAACATTTTTCTGCAAGCGTCTGTGAACTATGAAATATATTTTTTTTTAAAAGAATCATGTTATATTCTTATGGGTTGAAAAAAAAGAATGCACTCTTCCTGACAGTTGCCTGACTTTTTTTGGAATAATTAATAGTAGACGCTGATTGATGAAATGAAACTAATGGCATATTTAGTATAGACAATGCGCATCTATTATTATCAAAAATGGTTCTGATATCGCCATATCAAGAAATAATAAAATTAAAAATGTAAAAGATGCTTATTGGATGATTTCCAAACAGCCATGAAGAATGGGCCTTCTTGCCAGAATGAAACATAAATGAGCCCCTTAATAAGATGTGTGATCACCTCTGACACTAATGAACATGTTGAATATGTTATTCAGGGTACCCACAAAACTATTGAAGAGTCATTAGTGAATATGGCTCCACTTCTCTCTAAAGCAGTTTTCAGCTCCTGTACGGTTTGGAAAGGTCGAGTTTTTTGTGAAACACATTTGCGTCAATGGCATCCTAAACATACTCTATAGGATTTAGATTTTATTGCGAATTTTACCGAGTCAATATCTTTGATGTTCCTATAGAGCAAGAAACACTGTAAATTATACTATATTCTGGTAGTTTTGGAAATACTTTTTTCTCAGTGTGAAAGTAAATATTTCTATTCATTTCCTGAAAATGATTTTCAACCAATCTTCAGTTATAGAAATTAAAGGTAAACCAATTAAATATGACCCTACAATTTGAGTGAACTGACATTTAATTATTACTAAAACTACGAAAATGGTAATTTTTAGAAATATTTATATACAATAGCAAGAAGAAATAAAGCATTCAGTTTCTGAAACACAACTCAGGATTTCTATCCAACGATAGTCCTGTTTTCTTCCTTTTTTATAAGCAAAAAAATATTAAGAGCCATGCAAAACACACAATTTAATTGCGTTATAAGAGCGAATAAAACAAACAGCTTAAAAAAAGCTTTGACTCAGACCTGTTTGTTAGTAAAAATAAAACTAGAGTTAAACTTTTATTTATAAAAATATTTGTTAACTACTCCTACACATTTTCAATTAATTTGAAAAAAAAAACCTCTTCTCCTCATCTAACTTTTACATATCCTAAAGTATTTCTCTTGTTCTAGAACTTTTTTTATGCAAATTTCCAAATCTACTAATTAGGGTGAATAAGATTACCAAATTCCTAGGGCTACGAGGTGAAAGTGAGCCTAGCCTGTATTGCTCCCAGGAATTTCTTTTTAATTCAATTAATTTTAATTAAGTTAAGAGTGTTAAGTGTAAGAAAGTAGTTAATTAAGTTTTATTTCATGATAAATTATAGCCTTTTTTTCATTGAGCAAAGAAATCAAAGTTTGTAAGGAACTATTATCATCGAGTTAACCCTAAATTGAGTTTGAAATTCTTATCAATATTATTTTGTGCCTCAACTATTTTAAAACTATATTCTAAAAACCGCTTCATTCAAGCATTGAAAAATTATTTTAATAAAATTTCTATGTTTTAAACAGTTTATATTTTAATAATTCATCTAAAATTTTCAGACTTATGTATTGAAACGAATTAATGAATATATGTTAGCATTATTTTATTGCATTATTTAATAATTTTTTCTCACTACTTCGAAAAGGTAACATACATGTGACAACTTTAACGTCCAAATAAAATAAAACAAAATATTTTCAAGCGCAAGCATATCAGGGAAAAATGTTTTAATGATGAAAAATTCATAACATTTGACAAGAGAAAAATTATGGCCACATAATTTTACTCTAATTTTTCATTGTTAGATTAACTTACATATTGAAAAATATAAACTGTTAAGTAAAAATGACAGTAAACTATTACTATTTCAAAAATTGTTTATAGTTAATGAATAAAATGAAAAAATTATTAATAAATAGAAAAAAAATATGAATAAAATAAAGAAAGAAGGGAATAATTGAATTTCACTTTAACAAAATTATTTTCTATCAAATTTGGTTACCGATATTGTATTAATTGAGTAGAAAAAACAACAACAAGAAAATTTTTTTAAAAATTATGTGATTCACAATTCACAATCCCTTGTTTAATTATAGTTATTTAATGTGCATAATTAAAATTGTATTAGGAATATAATTGATTGTTTAGTATTTCTTCTGGAAAATTCTTATTATGTCTTATCAGTATTAATGCGCTTTATACGCATATCAACTCCACTAAATAGGACCCTTCTTTGATTAGAAATCTGTAGGGTTTAAAATGATTATGTTTAGGACTTAATTTGCAGATGAACAGGATATAGATGAATGCGAACATGTGAGAATGCGAATTAAGCCCGAGAACATGAATGCTGATAAAAGGGGACAGGGATAACATGGAAGGGTGGTTATTTTTAGGATCATCAATGTCAGTAGAAGACTCGCTAAGGAAGCTTTGTACCGTTGCCATGGGAACGAAATAGTGAGCTGATAGTTTTCGGTTGGATTGAATAATTTGGCAAATTTTATTTTTGTTAAGGAAACAAGGGGGCTCTTAAGATTTTAAGCAGTTCCATCAGCATCTCCACTTTGCTTCGTATTCTATAAAAAAGATATTGTTTGTTGATAGACCTATTTTATATCTCAGCGATATTGAATAAACCAATTTAAGAAGGATGCTTTAATGACAGCAATTTGAAACACAATAAGGATAAACAAAATTGTACAGATTGTGAGGGAAAGAAAGTTAAAAAACTAAATCTTTTTATTTCGTGCACAGGGAAAAAAATTTAGTCTAAACCACTTGAATATGGTAAAATTTACCGTGTTTTGGCACTATGAGAACAACAAAGAATTCGGCAATTTTTATCGAAGCAATTATTAATAATTTTGGTAAAATTGACAGCAAAATATATTTTTATAATATGCTATAAAATTTATTAAATGTGATAAAAGTTCGTAATTTTATCATAATACCGTAGAGCATGATGATATTTTATTCGATTAAATTTGGTTTTCAGTTCTGTATTTTTTTTCTAAATGTGTGGCAATAAAAGCTATAATTTTGAAAACACGAACTTTCGGTAAACTGTTGAAACTAATATGAACTGTTGAAACCAATATGAACTGTTGAAACCAATATGAACGAAAAAATTACCGAGTGAATAGCTTAAGTACCGTCTATTTTGGTTTCATTATCCAAACTCATGTTTTTTTTTTGTTAGAAATGTAATTATCGTACAATACAGTAATTTTACCAGAATGTATTTTAAATAAATTCGTATAATTTCAGAGTAGCAACCTAAAAGCTTTGTTTAAACGCATATGTGAATCGTAAAAATTAATCTAATCAAAGAATGAAACTGATTTACAAATTCAGAAAAATACAAAATAAGTAAATAAAATTAGAAATAATGAATCAAACTGGAAAAGCGCTTATATCAGCTAAAACCAAATTTGTTTCATTCTAATTTAGAAAGTCAAAAACAAAATTCTCGCAGAAAACGAAATTTTTTTTTAAAGATTTATGCGTTATCAGGACAGCACTTTAACAGGGGACACACTGCTTGCCTATAAGGTATTACCACTGAAAACAAAAAGGCTGGGTCCTGTGTGTTGGCAGGCAGCGTGTCCCCTGATGAAGTACTGTCCTGCCAACATGCATATCTTTAAATTTTATTTGTCGTTTTCTGTCGTTTTTGACTTTCTAAATCGCAAAAATTATTGTTATTTTTTCTCCAGAAAAGGAACAAAACTTTTTTTGAGTGAGTCCGTATCTTGTTTTTGCACACACACATATATACAGAGTGGTCCTAAAATATATGTCAAAAATGTAAAGGTAGGTAGAGGGAACATAAATAAGCATATTCCGGATAGGAATGTGTGTGCGGTAACGGCACATTAAAGCACTACTAGCTTGTAAAGCAGTATGAATCAAAGGAAACTGAAAAGACAAGTAAAGACAAAAGAAAATTCGATTCCCTACCGATATATATATATATATATATATATATATAGCATTCAGAAGTAATAAGAGATAGTTTTCTAGAAGATATGAGAAACGAGATTTTAATTTCAAAACTAGTTCTAAACATTTGAATTTCAGAAAGTACTTTTGGAAAAGACAGAGACCTATAATTGCAATAAAGTATTTTTGCTAAAAAAAAACTAAGTTATTTATTTTTATGTCAAGTGAAAATGTATTTCGGAGTGAAGATTTGATACGAAACAATTTTTTCTTCATTGTGTATTATTACTTTAAATGGTGACCACTTTCTTTCGCATTTAAATATTTTTCATAAAAGGCTAATATTAATCAATTGAAAAAGATATATCAGTTTGAAATAAAACAAGTGAGAATCTTTTTGGAAAAATTTGCAAAAAAATGAAAATGCTAAATAATAGCGTTCACATTTAAGGTCTAAATCTGAATGGAAAGAAAGTAGAATTGGATTTAGAAAATAGATGAGATTAAGAAATGGGAAAATAAATTTAATTTACGAAGCGCAAATTTGAAATGGAACTGTTTTGAAAGTAATTTCATGAGACATGTTAG